CACTGCCTAGTACAGTGTAAATGACCCTCTCTATGGAAAGAGGCAAATGTAGTCCCTGTTCACAAAAAGAAGAGCAGAGCAGAAATCAGCAACTACAGACCAGTGTCACTCCTGTCAATCACTGGTAAGATCCTTGAGACAATAATCTCAAGACAAATGACAGAGTTTTTTGACTATCACTCACTGAACATTAAAATGGTATAAAATACCGACAGGTTGTTAGGTAAGACACATATGCAACAGTTAGGTATCTTTATTTCGAATCGTTTCGCCTACACAGTAGGCTTCTTCAGTCGAGTACAGAAAAGTTGATAGAAGCAGAAGAGACTTGAAGACGATGTAATCAGTCCATCACCCTTAAAGTTTTGAGGTGATCAGTCCCTCAGTCTGAAGAAGAGCATTGTTCCGTAGTCTGAAACAATATGGAGTAGAAGTGACAGGATGGAGCCTTATATAGCGCCAGGAGGTGATACGTAGGTCACTAGTAGAATGCAGATGTTGGGAGGTCAGGTCCCTCTCAAATCCAGCCGTTCTCACTAGTAGAGGTTGTCGGAGTTGATTTCAGTTGATTTGAGAGGGACCTCCCAACATCTGCGTTCTACTAGTGACCTACGTCTCACCTCCTGGCGCTATATAAGGCTCCATCCTGTCACTTCTACTCCATATTGTTTCAGACTACGGAACAATGCTCTTCTCCAGACTGAGGGATTGACCACCTCAAAACTTTAAGGGTGATGGACTGATTACATTGTCTTCAAGTCTCTTCTGCTTCTATCAACTTTTCTGTACTCGACTGAAGAAGCCTACTGTGTAGGCGAAACGTTTCGAAATAAAGATACCTAACTGTTGCATATGTGTCTTACCTAACAACCTGTTGGTATTTTATACCATTTTAATGTTCAATCTGTCAGACACTGCAACACAAGGGTATCTTGGTACAGACCTGAAATCAACTCCGACAACCTCTACTAGTGAGAGCGGCTGGATTTGAGAGGGACCTGACCTCCCAACATCTGCGTTCTACTAGTGACCTACGTCTCACCTCCTGGCACTATATAAGGCTCCATCCTGTCACTTCTACTCCATACTGTTTCAGACTACGGAACAATGCTCTTCTCCAGACTGAGGGACTGGCCACCTCAAAACTTTAAGGGTGATGGACTGATTACATCGTCTTCAAGTCTCTTCTGCTTCTATCAACTTTTCTGTACTCGACTGAAGAAGCCTACTGTGTAGGCGAAACGTTTCGAAATAAAGATACCTAACTGTTGCATATGTGTCACACACTATCACTCACTACTTTGTGATCATCAATATGGCTTCAGGAAAGGTTACTCTGCTGCTGATCTGTTGTTAAACCTCTCCACTAAGTGGCACCAGTCACTGGATGAATCCAAAGTCAGTTGTGTGATAGCACTGGACATTGCTGGCGCTTTCGACCGGGTGTGGCACCAGGGCCTCTTAGCAAAACTTCAAGCACTGGGAATTGCAGGCTCTACGCTATGTCTCCTCAGTGATTACCTTCATGGTAGATCTCTAAGTGAAGTTCTCAATGGAACGGAATCAGCAAGACATCCTATTGGGGCAAGTGTTCCACGAGGAAGCGTGCTGGGACCATTGTTATGAAATGTCTACTTCCACGACCTTCTTCATCTCATCCCAGAATCACATGCATATGCAGACAACTGTACACTGACATTCACTTATCCAAGAGACGAAATGCCAGCTGCTCTAAGCTACATCAATCACCAGCTGAGAGCTATATCAGCTTGGGGAAATAGATGGCAAGTAACATATGCACCTGAGAAAGCGCAAATGACAATCGTCTCTAGGCACTATGATGGTAATGCTGGTGCAGTAGTAAGGATGAATGGGAGGGTGTTGGCACCTGGAGAAGAAGTTGATATCCTTGAGGTGAAATCTGACTCCAAACTAACCATGAAGAACCATGTTGTAAATCTTGCAAACAAGGCAGCCAGGAAGCTTACAGCGCTTCGCCATATCTCGCATCTACTTGACAGTAAGGGTTGCAAGATTCTGTACGAGGCACAAGTACGCTCACACCTTGAGTATGCTCCACTTTCTTGGTTTGCCTGCCCCCCCTCTCATCTGCGACTGCTTGACAGAGTAGAGAACGGAGCAAGACGTCTCATCTCTCGCCTGGACCCATCCTGGATAGATCTGTCATTTCAGCAGAGCCTTCAACATAGGAAGGATGTGGGTGGCCTTACTGTTATGTACAAAGCCAATATTGTCAAAGTACCACACTTAGATCCACTTCGAGGACAGTGTGAAACAAGCTTTTATGCCACAAGACAGGCAGAAAGCAGCAACTTCACTCTGGCTGTACCCTTCTCCAGAACATCACTCCATCTGAGATCATATATACCCAGGATGACTCGAGTATGGAACACATTCGTACAGCAGTATGATGTCAACGAGATAAAGTCAGTTGATCAAATGAAAATGCTGGCCCACAGATGGCTCCAGTTTCATCCTGTTCCCTACTTGTATGTCTCATAACAATAAAAATGCTTTCAAATGAGCTGATGTAGGTAACAGCTCTTAGCTTGCCAATGAAGTTAGGAATCCTTAGCCTGTAAATAGCTTGTCAATAAAGATAGGGATCCTTAACCTTGTCAAACCATGTGTAAAAAAAAAAACAAAAAAGAAAAAAAATAGAGAGAGAGAGATACAGATACAGAGATACAGAATACAGAGAGAGAGAGAGAGAGAGAGAGAGAGAGAGAGAGAGAGGGAGAGAGATACAGATACAGAGATAGAGAGATAGAGAGATAGAAAGAGAGAGAGGAGAAGAGAAGAGAGAGAGAGAGAGAGAGAGAGAGAGAGAGAGAGAGAGAGATAGAGAGAGAGAAGAGAGAGAGAAGAGAGAGAGAGAGAGAGATATACAGAGAGAGATACAGAGAGAGAGATCAGAGAGAGAGATACAGAGAGAGAGATACAGAGAGAGAGAGAGAGAGAGAAGAGAGAGAGAGGAGAGAGAGAGAGAGAGAGAAGAAGGAGAGGAGAGAGAGAGAGAAGAGAGAGAGAGAAAAAAAAAAAGAGAGAGAAGAGAGAGAAGAGAAAGAGAGAAGAGAGAGAGAGAGAGAGAGAGAGAGAATAGAAAGAGAAGAGAGAGAAGAGAGAGAGAGAGAGAGAGAGAGAGAGAGAGATACAGATACAGATACAGAGATACAGAGATGCAGATACAGAGATACAAGAGAGAGAGAGAGAGAGAAAGAGAGAGAGATACAGATACAGAGATACAGATACAGATGCAGAGAGAGAGATACAGATACAGAGAGAGATACAGATACAGAGATACAGATACAGAGAGATACAGATACAGAGAGAGAGATACAGATACAGAGAGAGAGATACAGATACAGAGAGAGATACAGATACAGAGAGAGAGATACAGAGACACAGCCACATTCAGTCAGCCACCCACCCAGCCACCCAACTGGCCACCCACCTGGCCACCCACCCGGCCACCCACCTGGCTACCCACCCGGCCACCCACCCGGCCACCCGGCCAGCCAGCCAGCTACGTATTACACATGTTCCAGAGTTGCTTCTCTTTACTTAGGGTATAGGTTATACAACATTCTGGCAGGATGACACTACCAGTGGTATTCTCCCATTCCACTGTGTCGACAATACATAAAGATAAGATACTGTATACGATGTAAAATTTACAATACAGTTCACTACCATGTATACATTATATACAGTAAATAAATAATTAAAATATAACAATAGAAGTAAATTATGGTAAAAAAAAATGAAATAATGATTGTACATTACATTACAGTACTATGTAGGTAGTTTATATAGGAAAAGTTTGACATTATGCAGTACCCAATATGTCGGCAATTTTCAAAGGTTTGACTTACGTCCATTTTGACTTACGACCGGTTCGTCGGAATCAAGCTTGGTCGTAAGTCGGATGGTATCTGTATACGTTTGGGGCACTAGCGGTAAAAACATATATACAGTGGACCTTCACATAACGATATTAATTGGTACCCGAGAACGAATATCGTTAAGCGAGTTTTTTAACGTTATCCGAGGGAAAATGTTAGCATTAAAAGTATCGTTATGCGAATTTAACATTATGTGATGCCAACGTTATGCGAGGGTCCACTGTATATACGTCTGGACCGTTTATGGGTTAATTAAGTGATGCAAAGAGGGAAACATTCACCATGGCTTCAAGCAATAAAACTTTTATATTTTTATTTTTTTTATTAACACATCGTCCAATTCCCACCAAGGCAGGGTGGCCCAAAAAAGAAAAACTTTCATCATCATTCACTCCATCACTGTCTTGCCAGAAGGGTGCTTTACACTACAGTTTATAAAACTGCAACATTAACACCCCTCCTTCAGAGTGCAGGCACTGTGACTTCCCATCTCCAGGACTCAAGTCCGGCCTGCCGGTTTCCCTGAACCCCTTCATAAATGTTACTTTGCTCACACTCCAACAGCACGTCAAGTATTAAAAACCATTTGTCTCCATTCACTCCTATCAAATATGCTCACGCATGCTTGCTGGAAATCCAAGCCCCTTGCACACAAAACCTCCTTTACCCCCTCCCTCCAACCTTTCTTTGGCCGACCCCTACCTTGCCTTCCCTCCACTACAGATTTATATACTCTGAAAGTCATTCTGTTTCGCTCCATTCTCTCTACATGTCCGAACCACCTCAACAACCCTTCCTCAGCCCTCTGGACAACAGTTTTGGCAATCCCGCACCTCCTCATAACTTCCAAACTACGAATTCTCTGCATTATATTCACACCACACATTGCCCTCAGACATGACATCTCCACTGCCTCCAGCCTTCTCCTCACTGGCACATTCATCACCCATGCTTCACAACCATACACAAATATAATACAGCTCAAGGAATCATTTATTTCATACTATATATCTGGTATATTATACCAATCATGAGATGGAAAGAAACAAGGAAAAGCAATTTAGTATACAGTACCTTGCACAGTGGAATATTTTTAGGAATTGCTTCTTTCACATCTTCAAGCCATTGTTGTGATAATCGAAGTGGAGAGAAATCTGTGACTAAGCCACCAATAGAATGATCCTTGATGAACTTTGGAAGAGCCTCCTTGGCTTCACCAAACAAAAGATGGAATTCAATACCCAGACTCAGGCATTCACTCTCGACTTCTTCCAAGCCTACAAATACACAAATTAAGTAAAATAACTGTTATACTTCAAAAGAAAAAAACACAAATTATTCACTAGTACTTCCTATACCTTTCACCAAGAACTACATAAATCTTAAAGCCTAATTAATCCTTTCACTGACTTGTAGGGAGATCTATTTTACTGATGCCAGTGTCACTCATGTAGATCTATGTCTGAAGCGCAGCACCTTCTAGGATGGTTTTTTATGGTGTTATTGGTTGTTTCTTGGTATCAAGTGATAGAATGGTGTTTGTGGTTTGGTTGATAGCATCCTGAGTTCACACACTGAGGGTCTGGGATCGATCCTGGCACAGGTGAAACGTTGGGCATGTTTTACACCTGCTTCCCCTGCTCACCTAGCAGTAAGTAGGTACCTGAATGTTAGACAACTGTTGTGGATCATATCCTGGGGAACAAGATTTGCCTAAGTTACTCAAAATGTTCTAAATAACCTGGGGTTTTCTATATAGTAAAAATGATGTCAGCTACGTCTGAAATAGTTGTATTATGTATGTACTTGTAGTAATAGTAATAAAGAATTATTAGTAGTACTACTACTACTACTACTGATGTTGGTTGGTTTCAGGTAGGGAAGTAGCTTGGAACAAGGCTCAAAGTAGCAGAAATATTCTATTTTTGACAATTTTCATGAGGAGAGTATGGCCCCTTTCCCCAGTGTGTTTTATGGGATGTTACTCACTCTGCTTCAATTAATGTTATTGACGTATCTTACCCTTAGGCATACCCATCTATGGTGAAATTTACCATGATACCTTTACAGAAGGTGTTCTTCTGAATGAAGACCTAGCAGTTATCGTATGTATGGTCACAGGAGGTACGTTACTACTTATCATATAACACTTCATACATATATAATAATGACTCTAGACATGAAATAACAGTGAATATAGAGAGAATAGTAATATATAGTTGAGGAACCTGATTAGTCCAGAAGGGGTGGTAAAAGCCCCTCATATTTTAACCCTTTGAGGGTCTGTCTTGTAGTTCTATGGCATTGAAGCCTGGGTCCAAGCCATAGTACTACATCATGAGCTCAGCTCACTCAAATGAGTAGTAAATTTGGGCCTAGATATGAGAGAATGCATCTATGGGGTAAATGTGCACCACATAAAACAAATCCTGCAGCATGCAGTGTATAATCAGGAAAAAGTGGGTACTGTGTTTTTGGATTAAAACAGCAACTTTGTGGTGTATTTATGTATGGTTTTTACAGTTGTATTTGCAGTTTCTTGATCTCATTTGCCAGAATGGAAGATATATTACAGAAACAGAGATGATTCTGATTGATTTTAGCATTGAAAATAGCTTGAAATTGAACTCAAAATAGTGAAAATGTTTGATTTTTGCCGATGTTCAAGAGCAAACAAATCACTTCTAATACACGTCAGTTGTTTGGTCTAATGTGCATTCACAAATGTGCTGATATTATTTATACAATTATTACAATACTGCATAACAGTAAATTTTCTACTTTTTTGGTGTGAATAAAAATTCTTTATGTGAATTAAAAATCAAAATGGAATTCATCTGTACAGCCTGGAAATGCAATTAAATAACAAAGGAAATGTTATTTTACTGCCAGGATTACATGCATTGTTTATTCTGGACCCTATGTTGAAAGTGGAATATTTTCAGCTTTGTGTGAAATTGGCCAAATTACCAATTTCTGATCACTTTACTGGGTAGTTAACACAGTTGATTTAGTGATTTCTTATGCTCAATAGATAAAATGAAACACAAACTAGCAAAATAGCTAAGAATTTAGTCCAAAGGAACAAAGTAACTGACCAAAAATAGGACTCCAAGTGGGCAAAATCGCTGATGCATAAATATCGCTGACACAGGAAAATTCACAAAAGCATAATTTTAACAATTTTTTTTTTATCAAATTTCATCCTTTTTGTTTAATTACCTTCAGAAAGAGATTGTCTACCATTTCATAAGAAAAATTATAATTTTTTTTTTTAATTCTTGGACCCTGTGGGGAATTTTTAGATTGAGGTCTGGACCCTCAAAGGGTTAACAGGTCTTAGAAGCCAATGTGGGCTACAAGGGCTTGATATGGAGGCCTTTATGTTATAAGACAAAAAATAAATCATAGAAAAAAAGTCTTTAGACAGAGCACAGTGTCAACAATACACTAGAATGGAATACCTGAATAAATATTTACCCTTCAGCATGAAGTCGTAATGGCGTATTGTGGCACCGAGAAACTTTGGAACCAAGCAGAATGCCACATGTAGAGACACATGGTTTTTCAGTGCCAAGCGCTGAGCAAATAACATTGCCCAATTATCTAGAGAAAAGTGTAAAAAAAAGTATGTCAGGATTACAATGGTAATGAATATTTTTTTTTTATTAGCACACTGGCCGATTCCTACCAAGGCAGGGTGGCCCAAAAAAGAATGGTAATGAAATCACTTTTAAAATGGTAGGTAGTACAGTACTAAAACATTAAAAGCAATTTGACTGTTGAGATCATTCAGAACTCTTAGCATTAAAAACTAAATACATACAGTGGAACCTCGGTACTCAAACTTAAGTTTTCCTGAAATGCTCTGCATATAAAGGGACTTTTGGCATGTACAATGAATTGTTATACTCCTTTGTACAAACATGTATCATACTAAAATAAAATTATTATTATTATTACTATTATTATTATTATTATTATTATAATTATTATTATTATTATATAGTAATGTATTTTTGAGAGGATGCCAACATTTTTAGAAACTTTTTTTTGTTATGTGTTGGATATGGGAGTTGAATTTCAGGTTGCTGTCAAGGTGTAGACTCAGTAATTTTCTCTCATTATGTTTAGCAATAAGGATGTTGTTAAGCATAATGTTCAGTTGGACCTCACTTGATCTACTCCCAAACATAATGTAAAAGGATTTGTCTATATTAAGTGCAAGTTTATTGAAGGTCAACCAGGTTGCTATTTTTAAAAGTTCTTCGTTAACAATAGTGTTAAATGAGGCAAGATTTGAGTGGGAGATGACATTAGTCGTGTCATCAGCAAAGAGAATAGGCGTAAGTTGTTGTGATATGCTTGGAAGAACATTAATGTATAAAAGAAAAAGGAGGGGGGCCAAGAATGCTACCCTGTGGTACACCAGTGTCCAGGGGTCTTGTTGAGGAGGTTGCATCCTTGACAAAGAATTTAATTAACCCTCTCAGGGTTGGTCCCATAAAATTACGGCTTTGAAGTCAGGGACAGTCCCATAAAACTACGCTAAAATTCTAGCAGCTCCCAATCTTGCGGTAAAAAACTGGTAGGCCTACAAATAAGAGAATGGATCTGTGTGGTCAGTGCGCACAGTACAAAAAAAATCCTGCAGCACGCAGTGCATAATGATTTTGGTGAAAAACAGTGACTTTGCAGTGTATTTTCATATAGTTTTTATGGTTGTATTCTCATTTTCTTGGTCTCATTTGATAGAATGGAAGATATATTACAGAAATAGGGATAATTTTGAATGGTTTACAGACTAAAAGTAGCTTGAAATTGAGCTCAAATAGCAGAAATGTTCAATTTTCAAGAGTAAACAAAACACATCACACATCCAGTATGTGTCAACTGGCTGGTCAAATATGCACTCACATTATTTATACAAATACTGTATTACCATTATGCAGTAGTCTGAATAACAGTAAATCTTCTATTTTTTGTGTGAATAAAAATTCAAAATGAAAAGCAAGTGTAATATAAGAGGGGCCTGGAGACGACTAATGAATGGAGAAAATGTTATTTTAGTGCCAGGAATATCTGCATTATTTCTTCTGGCACCTATTTTGAAATTGGCTTTTCTTAAATTTTGTGTGAAATTGGCCAAATCAGTAATTTCTGATCACTTTATTGGGTAGTTGAAATAGGTAAATGGGCAGTTTTTTGTATTCAGTCGACAGAATAAAAGGAGTTCTAGCTAAACAGCTATGAGTTTGGTAGACTGGATCGATGGAATTGACCCAAAATAGGGCTCAAAGTGGGCAAAATCGCCGAGGCATAAATACAGCTGAGACCGCTAACTTCATGAACATAATTCCGTAAGTTTTCTATAAAATTTCATGCTTTTGGTTTCATTACCTTTGGAAAAAGATTATCTATCATTTCATAAGAAAAAAATTTTTCTATTTTGAAAATTCTTTGACCCCAGGAGCAAGTTTGTGAGAAGGGGCCTCGACCCTCAAAGGGTTAATTCCTGTATGCGTATGGTTAGTTCATACATGCTAACTCCTTTACAGTGAACATCTAAGATATGAGTGAAATCAGTGAACAAGGTTATATCGATGGTAATAATAATAATAAATGACATTTAAAGTGCTCCAGAGCAACTGTTATTATTATTACTTTTGGGTTATCCTAGATAATCTACACATTTGCTACTATGTATGATTATTTATGCAAATGTATTTGTTTATTGTGAAATAGGTAGTAGGTTGGTAGACAGCAACCATTCAGGGAAGTACTATCATCCTACTAAGCGAGTGTAAAATGGAAGCCTGTATTTGTTTTACATAATGGTAGGATTGCTGGTGTCTTTTTCCTGTCTCATAAACATGCAAGATTTCAGAAACGCCTTGCTACTTCTACTTACACTTAAGTCACCCTACACATACATGTACATGTTCATATATACACACTCATCTGAGTTTTCTTTGATTTTACCTTAACCCTTTCAGAGTTGGTGCCGTACTAGTACGCATAAATTCTAGCGGCTTCAAATTAAGTGGGAAACAGCTGGTAGGCCTAGATGTGAGAGAATGGGTGTGCGTGGTTGGTGCGCGTGGTAGAAAAAAATTCTGAGACCCAGTGGCGCATTGTGGGAACGCCATTTTAGTAGACCTTGTTCACCATGCCTCGCGGTAAGAAGCTCCTCACTCCTTGGCAAATTGGGACACTTTTGTTCCCCAGTGACAGTTCTAATACAGATGGAAGTGCCAGTGAAGATGAGTTTCAAGGTTTGGGTGAGGTTGTGACCGAAACTAATGACCATAATACCGGTAATAGTGAGGAAAACCCAGACGACCCTCAGCTTTCCATCTCTGCTACTGGGCCATCTTGCTCACATTCAGTTGTACAGAATCAAAGAGGAAACTCTTATTTTCCCAAATCCCAGACTCAGATGTGAGCATTGGTGATGATAGTGATAGTGAATATGAACTACAAGCTCTTGAAAACAGTTCCAGGAGTGATAGTGAAGTGGAATATTCCCCAGTGAAGTGTCAGTATATATGACGATATATGCGCTCTGGTAGTGTGCCATGTGCTATTCCAAGGGAAAGGAGTGCATCTCGGAGTACATCCCATGGCTGTACAACAGGAACAGACAGTGAAAATGAAGATGATAGTGTTGCAAGTGGGATGGAAAATGTGCATGGTGGTGGTAGTGGTGGTGCCGGCCATGAGGCACCAGCAGTGGGCCATGCTGCCACCCACGCTGCCACCCACGCCACTACCTCAGCTGATCTACAACAAAGGCCACTATCCCCCACCTATCCACCACACCAGCCTCGACAACCACAACCTCCACAACCACCTGTCAATACCCAGTGCCCATCAGCAGACAGCACCTGAGATTGGCAGGAAGCTGCCAATTTTGTTCCCAATCCCCATCACTTTGATGAAAGTCAAAGTGGAATAGGGCCATCTTGTACACTTGGGAACAATGCCAGTGAACTGGAATGTTTTGAGTTATTCTTTGATGAACCCCTGATGGAAATTATTGTCAGGGAAAGCAACAGATACTACGAGTACACCATGGCAAACACAAAACTTTCACCAAACTTACACCTACACCAGTGGAAGGAGACAACTGTGGCTGAGATGTATCTTTTGTTTGCCACAATAATGCTTATGCCACATGTGTATAAGCACAGTGTGAAATCATGCTGGTCAACAGACCACCTGACTGCAACCCCAGGTTTCAGTGATATAATAGGAGTGAATCGATTTGTGCTACTATTACGTATGCTTCACTTCTCAGACAAAACCAGGCCTGACAGAAACGACAGGTTATATAAGATTAGGAATGTGTTCATATATCTGAAACAGAAATTCAATATGTATTTTTATCCCTTCATGAAGCTTGTTATTGATGAGTCTTTGATTCTGTTCAAAGGAAGACTCTCATTCAAGCAATACATACCAAGCAAGAGGAAATGCTTTGGTATAAAGTTGACTGTGCTTTGTGATTGTTACAGTGGTCTTGTATTGGATATAATTGTGTACACTGGAAGTAATACACTGCGAGATACCAGGAAGTTACTGGGTATCTCCGGTGATGTGGTTAGAACAATGATGGAAACATCTTGGTAAGGGACATATATTATACAGTGGATCCCCAGTTTGCGATATTAATCCGTTCCTGAGAGCTCATCGTAAACCAAAATTATAGAAAAGCGAATCAATTTTCCCCATAAGAAATAATGGAAATCAAATTAATCCGTGCAAGACACCCAAAAGCATGAAAAAAAAATTTTTTACCACATGAAATATTAAATTTAATGCACATAAACTGAAGAAGACATGCACAGTTTGTAGTATGTACTCTACTAACAATAGAATACATGACACTTACCTTTAATGAAGATCTGGTTATGATTGATGGGATGGGAGGAGGGGAGAGTGTCGAACTTATTGTTTAGAAAGGGAATCCCCTTCCATTAGGACTTGAAGTAGCAAGTCCTTTCCCGGGGTTACTTCCCTTCTTCTTTTAATGCCACTAGGACCAGCTTGAGAGTCACTGGACTTCTGTTGCACAACATATCTGTTCACAGAGGCCTGTACCTCTCCTTCCTTTATGTCTTTCCTAAAGTGGCTCACAACACTGTCATTGTACAGGTTGCCAACACGGCTTGCAGTAGCTGTGTGAGGGTGATTTTCATCAAAAAAGGTTTGCACTTCAAGGGACTTTGCACATATTTCCTTAATCTTTGAAGTAGGCAACTTCTTCAATTTCTTTATCCCCTCCTCCGAAGCAGTTTCCTCAGGTCTGGCCTCTTGCTGTTGAAGATGATCTAGCAGCTCATCAGTGGTTAGTTCATCATTGTCCTCCTCCACCAACTCTTCCACATCCTCCCCACTAACCTCCAACCCCAAGGACTTCCCCAATGCCACAATGGATTCCTCAACTGGCATAGGATTCCCAGGGTTAGCCTCAAACCCTTCAAAAATCCCTTTTGTCTACACATTCTGGCCACAGTTTTTTCCAAGCAGAGTTCAAGGTCCTCTTAGTCACTCCCTCCCAAGCCTTACCTATAAGGTTTACACAATTGAGGATATTAAAGTGA